TTTTGTAAATGTTTTAATGCTTTTTCATCTTCTAACATCCATGTATACCAGTGTCATTTTAAATTTTCTTTGAATGGTTTATTGATACGCACGTCTAAGGGCTGAACAAATGGTGTTAATCCACTTGGAATAACTGCCATGTCTGTATTATACTCTTTCAATTATTTCTTCGAATTAACCGTTAGATGAGATCTGAACATGCCCTGACTAAAAGAATTTCTGGATTCTTTAAGGCAAAAGGATGCTTTTGGCAAACATTTCTTACCCACACACACTGTTTTCATCCATCCATCCTTTTTCAGAAACAGGAATGAAAACACAATTTGGGAAATTACATTTTGGCATTGTCTTTCTTTTAAAAATAACCATAGGTTTTAATTTTGAACCATCCACTAAGCAGGAAAGCACTATGGTGAAGTGAGATCTTTCATGACCTGTTGTTTTTATGCGAACCGTTTGCTTCTTTCACAATAATTTCTTTACTTTCTATCATATCAAACATTACTGGAATTTCAGCCATATTTCCAATATGTGACGATAATACTTTTTTGCCTTCATAGGTCAATAATTATTTCTGGAAACTAATCAATTTATTATCCAAATCTTTCAGAAGCCTTGTGAAACGTGTTTTTTCTCATAGAACTAAATTATTCCATGCTATAAATCTACTACACAAACTCAAAGTTGCTTTAAAGTTTTCACTTTCATTTGCATTCTTTTTGGACCACTTTGAGGTAAATAAACGTGTACTGTTTCTTGTTAGAATTAATCCCTTCTGGCACTTTTCTAGGACCCGGTTTGCAGCACTTTCTCCTAGGAAAAGCCATTTTGTTACTGTTTTCCACAAATTCATTCAAGTTGGAAGTGCATTCTTATTCCAAATTGTACCCCCTTTTCTCAAAACCCTACAATAGTATTATTTTTGTTATATGCATTGAATACAATCCATTCTCTTTGCAAGAATATGCACTCCCTCAAGCATTTAACCCACACACATATTGTTCCCCTTATCACTTGTCAATTCGGTATACCACTGTTTAAAAGACTAGAACAAATCTTCAAATGCGTGATTTAAAAAATACAAGCATTGCTTATACATCTTTTAGGTTTCTTCATGAAGAACTGGGTGCGGGTTATTCGGTGAATATACCTAAAAATTCAAAAATGTAGCTTGAAATTATATAATGTTATAATTAGTCACAGTACTTTTTATGAGATTCTGCCCCCTCAAAAAAATTATACTAAAGGAATTTGCTACTTTAGAATCTGTGCATAAAATAATAATCAGAGTACCTTTCTGAAATTATATAAACTTTTCAGTCTGATAACTTTTAGAACTTCCAATTTTAAGAAAGTTTTTTAATACTATGTTTACGTCCGATATTCCATAAATTGTTTTCCATTTTCTTTCAGCAATCACTTACTCTTGTTTAAATCAAAATTCACAAATTCTAAATATTCTATTCTTTCTCTATGTAGACACACAAGCAGACATCGTGAATCATCAGTGTAACCATCTTTCTGGAATTTATAATAATGAAGTATAATAATGAATGATTTATAATAATAATGCGCTGAAAACAGCAAGATTTATATATATATAAATATATAAAATGGGATTTTAAACAATTTGGAATGAATTAAAATACATCAAGTTATATTATATAATTAAACCTCTTATTTTCATTTGACTAAGCATTATAGCTTCTGCCAACTGCAAATGATGCCCTACAGCAGGACTTTCTAAAGAAAATCTGTCTGCATGTGTATCTCAAGTTATGAACACTCAAGTCAGTGTTTCAAGGTAACTTGTACTACAGAATTAACATGCAGCACTTCTTCAAACATCATTTTAATATTTTTCATTGTTTAACTCTTATTAACAAAGTCTGGCAGCAACTTAGAGAACCATGAATTCAGAGGAATTCCATTAGAGGAAGTATGGCCAGACTGTGTAGTAAACAGAGGCTTTGACACTTAAGACTTCTATTATCTACAATAGCTTGTCTCTACATTTCAGCTTGAAAATTAACAATTAATATATAGAGGAGTCACTACAGAACCACAAAAATGAGCTCAACAAGAAAAAACTGCAACTACTTCAAAAGCAAAGAGCAATTGTGAAAGAAATGTCTTCTGAAGAATACAAAGAAGATTCCAGTTCTTTGATCTGCAAAATGGAACAAGATGCAAAGTTTTCTCGTAATGATGCTACCATGATAAAGCAGAACTGCAGCATATGCATTTTCAAAAATAATGCCATACAGCCACTGAGTTTTAAGCTGAGTGGTGCTAAGAGATGAAAAAAGAAGTGGGAAAAAATGAAAGCATATTTGCCAGAAAAACAGTTATGTGGCACTTTTATGAAAAGGGTCTCCTCATAAAAAACATTATCTTTCTCTCATTAATTTCCTCTTATGCCATTCATTCCTTTTCATATAGGTGTTAAGATTCGTCTATTTTACATTTAGTTTAGTATCATTTTTTTAAAGATTTAATAATTTGCATTGATTTTGTATTAAAGTACTGTTAAGTTTAAATATGTAATCATAAGTGGTTCAAAAATGGATTAGTCTAACATTAATTCCTATGGGAAAAATAGTTTCAGTTTGTATGCAGTTATTATTTTTGTATAAATTTGTGTGCAGTTTAATTCATTTTTTTTAATGTAAGTACTCACCTTTTAATATATGTAATAAATAATTTAACTTTTTAAAGTATGATTTATACATTCAAACTATTTTACAATTGAAAGCATTAATATGTATTTCAATAAATTTTATATAACACAAGAGATCAAGTATAGAATATTATTCTAATATGTCATAAATGAAAAAATTATTCAGAAATTAAATGTACTGCATTTCTCTAGAGGCTAGATTATCGATCAGAAAGTGATATTTCAGCTAACTTGAATTAAAACTTTTGTAATAACACATATGAAATTGAAAACTTAAATATTAAGCCTTAAGTATATTTAAATGAAAGTAATATGCATATAAGGTAAACTTCCCAAACTCCATATTTTAATTGCACTGCCCATCTTATTTCTCTCAGCTGGCAGATTTTTCATAGATAGAAATAGTGGCACAGTTATTCATATATCTATATATAATCATATTTTCATTTGTATTTCTGTTTTATATTATATTTGTATGATACATACATATATAACCATTTTTACATGTAGCAATGTACTTTAATTTTTAAATGAAACATTTATAATAAACTTCAAAATAAGCACAGATTTGTTTTTTTTTCTTCCTTATCAAATTCTTAGTAGCTTTCAGTTACCCAAACTTGCCATATTCCCAATTAGTACTATTAACTCTCAGTCACAACCTGGCACTATTCCCCAGTTCTTTTGATATTCTCAGTACTGACAAGGTCCAATAACACTTTTTCATAAGTGGAAAACAAGTAGATTTTTGTTACTCTTTTTGAATGAAGTTTACTTACTTACATTCTAACAGCAATACTTGCTTGTTGATATAACTTGAAATTCTGTTACTGAGCTTAGCTGGAAACAGAATTTATCTGACCATCAATCTTCAGCGATCTGGTTTTGATATAAAAAAAAAACGCAAGGTCAATACCACTTGCATCCAAGGAGTTTAACGCTGATGTACTAAACCATAATTCCATATCAATAAACTGACAGTCACAAATGGTAATGAGATCAACCAAGACTACATCACCTAATTTTCAATGTGATCATCAAGCCTGAAACAGAGCTGAGACTTGTCACTAAACACAATTTTATTCCATTCCAGGCATCTTTAATATGATACTATAGTAAAATGTAAGAATGATAAGGTAGTTACGATGTAGCCTTTGTTAATTATGGTAAAATTAATTTGCCTTTGCTGAACTACAAGCAACAATAAGTTTGGATTATAATAATATAACTATTTATTAATAGTCAAATCCCTTTGTAGATTTAATTTAACATCATTCGCAATAAAAACAGGCAATACTACTATGTGCTTTTAGATGCAGATCATTATTCCTACCAAACTGATCCAGATTTTTGCACCATCTCGTACTTTAGCCATTTTATGACTTAGAAACCAAACTGACGATAGGAAGACCTACGCTAATAGTAAATACGTTTTGTTTTTAAAAGTTCCTGTATCTGTCTCAAGAGCATTTATTATACTAATAACAGTTTATTTCAGCCACAATGGAAAAATCATACAAGTTTAATGACCTATTTTCTTCTTTCATTCAAGCCCTTATCATATAATCATTGCATTTACTTAAATCCACATTTTGCTGCACTTTTGTTCTAATATTTTATAGTGCCTTTTTGAATAGATATTTTAATAAATAAAATTGCACAATAACCAGAAGAAGCTTAATTACCATACTATATAGAACAGTCACATGGCTTAAATATGAAATAAAGCATGCAGGTCATTACCAAATATAAATTACATTGTAGAGACATTAGGTAATTTTTGGAGGCAGAAAAGATGAAAAATAGCATCCGCCTTCGCCGGGAATTGAACCACTACACCACGAAAGGAAGGCGGAAGAAATACCTTATAACTATCATTAATTATAATAGCCATGTCTAGCCGAATAATTTCAATTTATGCCCAATCTGCTATACTTATAAGTATGCCTGAAAACAAACAGGTAATAATATACCCCTGACTTTTCTTAATTTTTCTTTCTATACACCATAACAAATTATAATATTTAATTAGGTAGCTTATCTTTCATGGTAATCATAATCATTGCTGCTCTCATTAAATATTTGTTTACATTTCTATTTCTTAAAATTTATCCTGAAATGTACGGAAAGTCATATTTTTGAGTACATACAATAATTTATTCCATTATATAATTTTTATGTTAAATGAATCCTTCAAATTGCACAATGTGACATTTTCTCTGCCAAGTAATGTAATTCAAACTTAACTAGATTTACTAGGTAGTGGAGATCACCCTTAAAACCAAATGGCTGTTAATTTTCATTAACACAAAATGAAAGCTTAAAAACAATGGATCTTTTTTAATCATAGTAAAATTCATTTACATGAATATATTACAATGCAGTTTTTTCAATTTAAAAGTCTTATTTATGTGTCTATGTCACTTTCACTGTCACTGGAATCACTCTTTTCACTGGATGTTTCAAGAGCAGCCTATAAAATGATAACATTCATTAAACTAACAGCAATACATAACACAGAAAAAGAAATAATACTTCAATGATACTACTATATGATTATAGCATTTATTTCCTGTCTAAAAAATACTCATTACTAAAAATTATTTATAACTTTTTTAGTAACGTAAGAATAGTCAATGCAATATTTTTTTTTAATCTCTTAAACACTTACTTAAATACAACTCTTTTGTTCCATTTTTGCAATTCTTGAATTAATGAACTGCTTTAAGTTATTTAAGGAACACTCATAAGAACTATGCAAAGAGAGAATTCTTTTTCAGGGGGAGAATATTAATAAATTTAATATCCCATGCTTTAGATAATGTTAATTCAAATATATGGAATCACTATATGGATACATTGTTAACCCAAAGGAGCATTAGCTCAGAAGGGCTATTAATTTCATTTTGGCATTGATTCACTTTTCAGACTGTCGCCACCAAATATTCTAGCCCTGTATTATATTTCAAGAAATTAAATAATGAAGAATCTGCATAAGTGTATGTATGTTTCTCATATTGTGATATAACAACGGAACCTACAACCATCAAATTTTGAATAACGTAATCCTCCTCAAAATATGGGCATCTGGCAGGGTTGCCACTCAAACAGGAGAATGAAATTCCCTGACTTTTCCAGGTGTGTTTCAAGAAAATTCCAGTCTATCCGCGTAATGTACGTTGGCTGTGCTAAGAGGTAAATTAATTATGGTATTACTTGTATTGTGTAGCAAATTCACTTAATTATTCAATAAATCCCAGAGGACATTTATTCTTAATTATTCTTGGTATACTTTGTTTGATAATTTTGTTTTGTTTTCCACTTAAGAAACTTAATAAAATTTAAGATATATACATTGGATAACAAATGTATGTTTTATTTAATTATTACTCGTGATCATCACCAGTTCAACACGAGGCTAATCCGGTCCTTATAAATCACAACGCAATGCTAAATAGTTAGGTTAGATTTTAGGTAAATTTAATTTGCGTGAGGTATGTTCTTAAAAGGCATCTTAACACTTGAAAACACAAATATAATTATAATAGTTGTTGTTTTCCCTCCACTGAAGATTGAGATTAGAATCTTCCCAATCTGGAATAAAATAAGGCTTTTTTTGCAGACATTCTGCAGCTAAACGAAGAAAGAAATCTATTTTAATAAATTGAGGTATTTTATATTTATTTTGCAGCATACATAAGGAAAAAATATGTGCATTAAATTTCGTGATGGTATGTCATCATACTGCTATAATTAATTTTAGGATTATGCCAGAGAAAATTTCCTTGAAATTTGGAAAGTATTATTTACTAATAATAAAAAATTTAGAGGGAAGAAGCAACATTAAATGTATATGAATAACATAAAAATAAAGATTACTTACTTAAAAATCGAATTAGAATAATCAATATTTCAGCATAATTTTAATGATTAATTAATTAATTGTATATTTACATGGTTAGCCTAGATTAACTTGATTACTTATTTTTTTATTTTACTGCAAAATGACAAACAAGGTATTTATTAAAAAGAAAAAAAAAGGTTTAAAAAGATTTTGCGGTAAAATTCTAGTATACGGTAAGGCTTTAAAAGATTTTGCGGTAAAATTCTAGTATACGGTAAGGCTTTGGCACGGATTTTGAAAATTGTCGCCAACACCAAAATGACCCGTTTACTGCGCATCATGAATGTCGCCAAATCCCGTGTGTACCGTACATGGAGGTTAGAATAAAATATATGGAGATTATTTTAACCAAAGAGCGTCTATGTAAAGAAGAAAAGGTTCCATACAAGTAAAATGCTATTACGCCGTTAGAATGCGGAGGGAAAATTTGCCAAGGGATTTGGCGACGGAACCTGGCGGCCAGAATTTCTCTCTTCGCGATGTGTACAGGAAATTGAGAAACACGTGTTAAGAAGAAACGCTCTTTGACAAAAACTACGAAAATCCGTTTTTAAAATTATTGCGAAAAATCCACGCAATAATTTTCGTAGTTTTTTTTTCCCCTGAAAATAACTAATCCATGAATTAATTTACTTGCGCCAAAAAATATTTTCTTTTCCTTTAGAGTTTAACCACTTGCGCTAAGACTAAACTTCACGGTTGGGGTGCAGTACGCTACAATATAACAAGCGGCAAAGTGTCTCATTTACGCCGCTCCGCATCTGCGAGTGCAATCCAGAGCTGTAACTCGAGAAATAAACAATCTCGTTGTTAGGCGACGTGTGCACCACGTTATTTTCATTTTTGCGATAAATGCTTATCGACGTGGTGTTCACGTTGCTCACGGTTTGAGACAAAAGCATCTCGACATGTGTGGCACGTCTTTTTAGCGCAAGTCGTTCAAGAAATTTTAAACGATATTCATTTTATGAACTCTTGATAACGTGACCTTCGAACTTCGACACCGGTTTCGAGCTTCGGCGACAGATATATCAGACATGCACAGCTGTTTCCCTCTATGATGGAACGGAGCCACGTCTGTTGCAGAGAAGTTTTCCTTCTTTACAATACATATTCTTTGATTCTAACCTCCATGGTACCGTATACTAGGATTAAACCCATTTTGTTTTATTCGAGAACAGGTACTTTCTTTAGTTCATGCACTGCACATGCGATTCTCGAGAATAGTGGAAACCAAAAGTTGCGGGAAAGTTGCTTTGCCTTTCTAAAAGACAATCAAATTGGAGCTGCGAAAATTGGCTCTATGCCAGCTACCCGAATGACACTCACGTGATACATAATTCGCCAAAAAAGGTATCTCTTCCGACGTCGGCGCAAAAATCGCTTTTTTTGGCGGCATCGTTGTATGAACTTCCCTGACTTTTACAGATTTTGACAAAAATACTTAAATTCCCTGACTTTTCCCTGAATATTTTGGTCAATTTTCGAATTCCCTGACTTTTCCCGGTTCTCCCGGTTTTCCAGGTAGCGTGGCAACCCCGGACGGTTATTCTACGCTTCGAGAGTCGACAGCAAGTTGTGGGCCGCCAGATGTCGCTGCTAGTAAAAAACAGGTCTGCCCGACATCCTATATTCTCTGAGTACGGAAGTTGTCGAAAGCGCGTGAAAAAGTGTTGCCGCGTCCGTTCAATCAGGGTTGTGCAGTTGACGTACTAAGTAGACAATGGCTTCGCATGTGTTTTCGCTGCTGATTTTTTCATATTTAAACGAAGAATACGGTTGTAGATCTCTTGAATCGGTGGCGAATTTATAGAAAATATGTTGATGCTTTTGCTCTGCCAAAAGATGTTTTGATTGCGTATTTCAGATTGCCAAAATTTATAGTTATTTTAATTTGCGATGAACTGAGAGAGTATTTGGAGCCACATTCAGAAAACAAGAACGCAATTTTTTACTGAAAGAAAAGTTATACTATTCCAGAAATTATAGATATAAATTGTAATTGTATGCTTTAAAAATGTAGAAGATGATAAGTTTATCAAGCACAATAAACTTTCTTTATTTAACACAAATATAGACATCCGATAAGCTTCTACTCGATTTATGTACAGTAAGAATTACGTTTACTTTAAAATCTAACAGTTGAATACCTTACCAATAATACTGTGAACACAAAAAGGAAATGTCGTTCATTATTACGCGAAATTCACACTACTGTAAAATAAAATTTTAAAAAAAATTATAAAACTATAAAATAGCTTTATAATATCTTTTTCAGTAGCTGTACTACTACTAATGTGATACTTTCAAAAATAAGTTTTTAGCTCAGAGGGGCTATTAATTATTAATTTCGTTTTGCCATTTTGTGGCGTTTCACTTTTCAAATCGTTGCCACCAAGTATTATCGCACTCTATTATATTTAAAGAAATTACATAATGAGGAATCTGCAGAATGTATGAATGTTTCTCGCACAGTGATAAAACAACGCTACATAGAGCCATGAAATTCTGAATAACGTAATCCTCCATCCTAATATAGGCATCTGGAGGCCCAAATTTGGAACTGAGAATTTGTTTTATTATCTATTTCATATTTTGTAAAGCATTTATGAGTTTTTGATTAAGAAACCCAACGATTTCAAAGCGAGCAATAGCAACATTGTACAGAAAAAAACATTTTCATCTCTAGCGCGGGAGATTATGTATCGGAAATTCTAAAGATATGCTTTTTTTAAATTATATGATATTGCTGTTGAATTGAATTTTATGGTTTAAGTGCGGAAAACATGATATTTAATAAATAAAGATAACACGCAAAACGTTAAATAATGGCCCTTTGGAAGTAATATAAAATCTGAAGGCTTTCAGATTTATTTATTTATTTATTATTATTATTATTTTGTGTGTAATTTTATTACGTTTTAAAACTGGTTTCTAAGTGAGGACTTTCTAAGGGAAACTGGCTCGTATACAAGTTACACATGTGGAAAGCCACAAAAACGCCCGCTAGCTCGTTCCCGGGATTTAAACCTCGGACAAACTACCTGCGTTCAGCGACTCTAAACCGCTCGGCAGCTGGTGGGCTTGTTAGTAGAATTATACTGCATTATTATTGTATTATGCTATATAAAGTAACAATGCTATAAGACTGAGGGTTTATTCATGGAATAGTACTTTTGTAACCTATTATAGTATTAAAAAAAATCATTGTTTCTTTGCAAATTTAACAAATTTAACAACAACAACAAAAAAAAAATACTGTTCATAGCATTCTCATTTTTTATATTGTAAAAAAGATATTGATTATTATTATAGTTTTCTATTTAAAATGTGTCGAAAACGCTTGTTTGACAAGGACTTCAACTGCAAGAGACCTACACTGATTATTTTTACTTTAGTACTTACACTGTGAAAATATTACTATATTTTAATTATTTCACAGAATTAAAATCTTTTGAGATGGAAGAATATTTAAACTAAGCAGTTCTTATATATATAAAAATTCAAGTAACAGCAATGTAATATTAAAAAAAAAAGGTGTTAGTAATTGTGTGACAAAAATTGCAAAACGAATTAATCACACATACAGGATAGATTAGTTTAATTTTGGTTATATATTTTATATTGAAAAATATTTTATTTCATGTTAATTATAGAATAAATTATTTAAAAAAAGCATTTTGATGCGTGTGTGATAGTTGAATGCAGCAGCAATCGGCCATACTGTAATAGCGAATGAATTTTATTTCTTTTCCTGAAAGAAATAATTTTCATAGTAAAAGAAAATAAAAAAAAACTTTCTTAATATTTCTTCCCTTTTTTAATTTACATAATATACATATACACAATATATATAATTACATAATATTATTATGTAATTCTAATTTACATAATAAATTAGAAAGAAAATATTTCTTTCTAATTTATTATGTAAAGAAATATTTTTCCAATAGTAACTGTAAAATAAATTGCGGGAAAACAGTTTTAATGTAAGCATGGAAAAAAAAAGAAAGAAAGAAAGAAAAAAAAAAAACTTAGTTTGCTATTAGATTGTAATGCAAATTAATCATATTATAAATTTAAATGATTAAAATTGGTTTATTTCTAAAAGGATTTGAAGTAAGCTTAATTCATTTACTTTTATCTATTTACCATTGCTTTCGTGGTATCCCATATCACTCTTTATTTCTTAGATCTAAATTCCTGAGTTAAGTTTTCCCTTAAAAAACGGAATTTTCCTTCACATAATACAGCAAGCATATTCCGCTGCGTGTTGGTCATAATACTGTTTTGTGCAATTTTTTTTTCGAACTACAATGCAGCGTGTAAGTTAGTGAAATAATGGGAGAATATTCCTAGAACTTCAGCCAGCGCGCGCTATAAATTTCGTCACTCGTCTGTACTGCGATTGGTCTAAAGCTCCTTGAAGCCTTGTCCCCTTTCAAGTTAAATGGACCCAACCGCCCACCAACTGAGGACCACAGAATGGCTTTCTCCGATAAGTTGTTGATAGCTGTCCATACCGGTTTCTTTGAGTCAATATTGTTCGCTTAAGTTGTAGACAGATCCAGTGATCATAGAATAGGCGTCCTGATCTGGAAACCCAAATCTGGAATTCGTTTTATTATCGATTGCATATTTTGTAACACTTTTATCGAACTTTTTATAAAAGAACTCAACAATTTCAAAGCACGCAATGGCAACACTGTATGGGGGAAAAAAAAAAAAAAATTATCTCCAGTGCGAGAGACTGAGTATCAAAAATTCTAAAGATATGCTCATTTTAAAATTATTTTGTGATATTGCTGTTGAATTGAATTTTATGGTTTAAGTGTGAAGAACATGATATTTAATAAAAAAAAGGTAACACAGTAAACAAAAAATGCCCCTTCGGGCGTAATGTAAAATCTGAAAGATTTCAGATTTTTTTTTTTTTTTTTCATATTAAAATCTATGCACTGCAAAAAAAATCTTGATAGAAATGTTGTAATGTAATAAAATTTGCTTTAATAATTATTAAAATTTTACAGTGCCTAAAACTAAACTCAAGATTATTAAATAGTAATAATTACTAAACATACCTCATTTTCAGAACACTGATCAGAATGTTCCATTTCATTCTCACTCTCATCAGTATGTATTTCATTCTCACTTTCATCAGATGATTCTGAAAAATGACAAATATAAAAATACTGATGGATTACAAATTATTTAAATCATAATTAATACATTAATAAGAAATGACTGGTATTGAATATAGAAAACTTAACGATATCTAATGATGAATTAATTAAAATCATAAAACAATTATTTTATAAATACACTGCAGTTACTTATAATAAAATCTAATGTAAAAGGATATCTACTAAATAAAATGAAACTAGCAATTCAATTAAAAAAAATTTTAGCAATCTCATATACAGTCAACTTCAGATACAGCAGGGTAATACACAGGAAATAGGAATAGCCCATATTACAATTAACCAAATAATACTATTAAAAATTTACATATATTTTCACACAATTTAATCTAGAAGAATACTATTAAAATTACTTAGACTTTCAAGCAATTTAATCTAAAAGAATACATTTATTTGGTTATACAGAGGCTGTTCACACATTTTTTTAGACGATGTATATTGTATTCACAAAATTAAATTACATAAAATTCTTGTGCTTTAAATGTTCTATTTGACATCCCTTATTCTGAACTATCTTTCTTTCACACACCCGCAATTTCCAGGATAATAATGCCTTTTGAAGTGGCAGAAGAGATATTCTATCCCATTCTTCCCGAACAGCTTTCCAGAGTCCTGTTAGGGTTTTGGGACAACGTTTGGATAATGCAGTTTTTAAAATTCCGAAAGCACAAAAATCCATAGGTGACACATTGGGAGATTTAGTAGGGATATCAGTGAAGGGTATGGCCCTGATACCAGTTTCTTGTTCCATTTCTTTTAGGAAATTTACAGTGGATTTTGATGTGCGACTGCTAGCTTTGTCCTGATGGAGTCTCACAGATTGATGGCACTGTGGGTGAAGCAATGGTATTTCATTCAGAAAAATTGGCGATAAATATGTTCCTGATAGTATTTGGAGTTAATCTTGACATTTTTTGACATTTTGACAAAAATGAATTTTATTTACTTAAATGTTATTTTTACTTCATTTTAAAATACCTGGCAATGTAATTCTATCTGCATATGAAAACAGAAAGGAAAAAAAAAAAACCCTTTACATGATAACATATGTGATGTTTTATACATAGATGGATTGGATTGGATTTTTTAATTATGGCAAAGCACACAAGGGCTATCTGCCTAAAGGGGGGATGCCTTCGTGGAGGACTTTCTAAGGGAAACTGGCTCATATATATGAAGCCGGGGCTTTTCCCGGGGGCTGGGACATATATGTCCCGCACGTTCACTACTTTAAATGTGTCTCAAGAAATTTCAGTAAACTATGGAGATTTAAAATTTACTCCTTAATATGGATTAGGAAGTGCAATACCCTGTCGATTTGTTTTTCTGTTCCTTTCAGTTAAAATAAGTGACTAAATGGCCAAAATACATTCGAAATTGGATCCTATAGCCCACGGGAAAAGGTTAAACATGGGGAAAACCACGAAAACGTCCATGCAGCCAGCCCATTCGCGGGATTCGAACCTCAGACCGAACTACCAGTGTTCAGCGTCTTTACCGCTCGGCCGCTGGTGGGCTCTTTATACATAGATGAGATGCAAGTTCACACATCTCTCTCTACATTTTAAAACTTTCTTAATGAATAGTTTCAGCAGATCTCCTGACCCCACCACTATATTATTAAAAAAAGGGAGATTTCTCTGATGCTACGAACTGAACTACTACCTCGGGTCTTCTACAGATATACAGAAATCCTTTTATTTACATTCTACCACATTTCTTACTTTCTTTGTTTTCCTTGGTTTTCAGTTTTGAAATAAGAACTGATACCTAAATATGACTAAATAAATTTTTCCTAACCAAATTCTCTATCTAAACAAGGACGAAAAAAGTCTCTTCTAAAACTTTTGGTAATGTCATAATTCTTCCTAAATTAATTTAATTAACAATGTTTACTATGAAAAATCTGAATTCCACCAATTATGTACTCCACAAATCGGTGATATTTTAAAAAAGAGAATAGATGGTTTGCTAATGCTAGCCTCAAATTACACTTGCTTAAGATATTGACTAGATTGTGTACCAAAAGAAAAAGAATAATGTTTAAGGCATTGCCTCATTTGTCAATTGACTAGTTTTTGAAATTTAAGGTTTTACCAAAAGGGAAAATAGTTAACAGGATAAAAATTTGATAAAATCAAATGCCCTTGAAACAGAGCAGGAAACTTATTAGTTACATGAATGAGATCATTTGGAATTCTGAATAAGTGACACGATAAGTAAAATGACACATTATGACAGTTTAAACAGATTTCATTGCATTAAATTACAACACTACACTATTATGAAGAACATTCTACATATTGTTAGCATAAATAAAGCTATTCTATTGTTTATAATTTTTATGATTAGCTTTTTTAATTTTAGATTACTTTTAGTTTACACTGAAACTGTCACTGCCTTGACAAAAAAAGGTTTCTGCTAAACTTTGAATCTCTACTAGAAAACTTCGTTACATTCTTATGAAATGCATATATATATAAATATATATGTTTAGGGTTATAAGAAAAAAAATTTACAATTTTAGTCATATTTTACCCTTATTGTTATTAACACAAGTTCTAAAAACTTTTAAAAATATTTTGGTATTGTTCCCGTTCCTTAAGGTACTTTAAAATTGGTTCATCCACATAGTGGTTGTTCTCGTCTTACTAATTGATTTGTTCATGGATTTGGGGTGCATGGGCTTTAAGTGATTCAATTACAGTGAAGAGTTTAAGAAAACAAATATATAATGCTCTTGAAAGGCCTGAAAATCATTGTATGATGGAAGACAGACTGAATGGTGAATATGAAAACAATGGTGATGACATGCAAACTGCAGCAGATGGCACAGACAGCAGTTTCAGAAGCACTGAATAATTTGAGGCTTAGGGAATAGCAGTGGATTACAATAAGAGTGGGTGAGATTTAGGAGAGAGGAATGCATAAACAAAGATATCTTATACGATATTATAATGTTAATATTACTAGGTATTCTTATTGGAATGTAGATTTCTTTTAAATATCTAAATATTGTATTAGCTAAGAATTTTAAATATTGTAATAGCTGCTAGTAATTTATCTACAAATGCTTTTAATTTGTTATATTCTTAATGTAACTGCTTCCATCATAAATTATTTGCAGAATTTTCCCTCTCAAATTTCATATGAAAAAAATAAGTACAAAAAGGGGGTGAATGCAAGAGTGCATACAGCAGGTTTCATAAAATTAATATCATACATAAAACAGCCAAATGTTTTATTAACACAACTAAAAAATGAGAAGGGCATATTTCATCAACAAAAATCTTTCATGCTAATAATGATGCAAATGTAACACTGAAAATTTACAAAACAATATTTAAATTTAGAAGAAAAAATATTTTGCATTAATAGTTTAAACAAACTACACCATTTAGAAAGAAATAATACCTGACTGATATATAGCTAGTGGCTCTGATGATGGATCTGTATTATTTGTATTACAGGAAGCAGCCTAAAAAACATTTTGGCACATTTATCATTAATAACATTAATTTGATAAATACATACAGTAGAAAATAAATTATAGGTTGCTATCTGAGCCAGAAAATAAAACATAATTGCAAAAATGCATAAATTCAAGTTGGGCCGATTAAAAATTCTACTAAATAATACTTCTATTTAAAAATAATACAAACAAATTTTTAAAAATCTGATGTGGACACCACCTGACTTCCTTGTATGGTCTACTAAATTATTAAACATTTTTTTGCTGCATTTCTTTTAAACTTGTTTCCTTGAATTAAATTGGAGATATATTTCTCATTCAATTAATTCAGTTCTCACTTCACGGCAAGGCAAAAATACATAAAAAATCAAAATATCATCATTAAAATTGAAAAATATTTAAAAGCATAAAACATCAAATACAGTTAAAACAAGAAGACATGTAAGGGAAGTTCACTTGCAACTGCAGAAATAGATCATGGATGTTACTAAAATATGCAGATACCACAGTTAGGTTAAAAAATCATCAATACAGATTCTGTTCAATCATCTATAAAGATTCTGGATACAACATCAGATGACAAGCAGGCAAACTCCAATCAACCAAGAACTCCACCTGACACAATTGCAGACAAAAAGAATTATACCTCAATCAAATGCAATAATTATAGACATTATCACTGGCTTGTTATCCAGTAAAAGTAGCATTTGCAGAACTGATGATTTGGGAAATGGACAAAAATTTCATATTTATCACTGATGCACTAGTTGTAGGAAAAAATGCAATTTCAGTACGTAGTTTGCTGTACAATACCATGAATTGCATACTTAATTAAACTGATTACTGATTAGATAACACTTCTGAAATATATGAATTAATGAAAGTCTTTAAACGAACATTATTTTTTTAAAAAGTACTTACACAATATTTATTTATTGTGTAATAATAATTATGCTATATAATATTTTAAATAAATTTTGACAAATAAAATTTAAAAGTAATAACTCTGTTAAACATATTTTTTACTTTCAAATGAACAGTCATATACAGGAAAAAGATGGTATTTCATTAAAATAATCTTTAAAGGGGGGGAGGAGAAAGCTTGCCTATAACAATTCACATTTAAAAATTTGATGTCTTAAAAGTATTCTATAAAAGGAATAATTAATAATCTGAAATATACCTTGAGAAAGTGAAGTAAATTTTCTGTTAATGTAAATATTATCAGAAAGGTAGTAAATTATCTTAATATAATTTTTAAATGTTAAGCTAAGCACTTAAGACAGTTATGATTTTCAAAATGGAGTTTTAAAACATTAAAATTTTATTTGAGTCTACATAGCAAGCCTTTCTACATTGCATGTAAAATATTTCAGTGCGCTTTCAAAGCAATTAATGTAATAGCTGTTAAAACTCTTGATAAATACTAATATGGTATATTTTAGATGTAAAAATCACTCCCTCTAAAAATCATGGTTAAATATTTTCTATGCATCTTTTGTTATTTTATACAAAGAGAGATTTCACGATACCTGCGACAGAAGTATTTGCAGACAACCCTTTAATTGAGACATCTTTGAAAAATTTTCAACTCTAGCTTCTATTAATTGACTAATTGGGCCAAGATATTCATCAACATCTTTGCACTGTAAAAGAGGAAGATTAAATTATGATATAGTACATTTGACACACAACAATAAATCAAAAGAATTATCAAAAATTAAAGAAATTAAAATTTGGTCGTTAAATTTTTTAATCATAATTTTACTGTAAGAATCCTGTTTATTATCAACACTTCAAAAGTTTATGCAAAAAAAATTTTACATTACTGACAATTACTCACAATTTCTCATAACTATAATAAATATTCATACTTCAAACAGAATATCATTAAAAATATGAAAATAAAATTTATCAATTTATTTAGAAGTCATTTATTAAATACAACATATTACAGGTGAAGATGGAGAGATTAAATAATTTTATAATTATTATTTTATGCAATTACAGTCAAAAGTCGTTAATCCGGACTCGTCGGGACTTTGGCGATTCCGGATTATCGATTTTTCCGGATTATAGATCATCAGTTTAAATCTCGTAAGATGGCATGCAGAAATTCTAAAATTAAAAATATGAAACTGTAATTTATGAAATAAAGAACAATTATGATCTAAAGGGTATCAAAATTTACAAAAAAAAAAAAAAAAAAAAAAAAAAAGCTTAATATTTATTTGTTTACTTTATTAAACATTTCTTTCAATGTAAGTTGTTTAAGTTGCTTCATTTTATGTGATAATACTTTCTCTTTAATTCTATAAACAGACATAATTTCTTGTTCAGTTAAAAAGTTCCGCTGTTCAAGTCCCGTTAATTGCTGTGCCGAGAATACCGACTAACTTGTCAATCGAAATTTTTTCGTTTTCACTAACCTCTCTGTCACATTCTTCATGTCTTTATCCATTTTTTGCAGCAATTTCACTTTTTGTTTGTTGGACATTGAAACATACTCTCGTTTTGTAGATCCTTTGGAAGTTCCAGCATCGGAAATTCTATTTGACATAATTGAAAGTTCAAGTTTACTTTTATAAAATTGCTCTTACAGTCTGCAAAAAATAATAAGTGGGATCCTATTCGAAGATTAAGGAACAACGCAATCATTAACATTAACTGAAATAGATAATTAGATAATTTTAGCTTACACCGTCCGTTATACATTAAACGCGCAGGCGAAAATGTATTCTGCGCTTGCTCACACGCATATGCGCAGTAGTCAAGTTCTTACGCGCACGCATAAAACGCCTATGCGCAGAAAGTTTTTAGCTTTGAGGTCCGGATTATAGATCATTCCGGATTATGGGTGTCCGAATTAACGACTTTTGACTGTATTATTATTTGATTTACTAAGTTCAAAGATGTCTCATGTAGGAATATAATGAATTTGAAGAAAACTAGAATTACATATAACTGCTAAAAAAATGTATGATTTATGTAAAAATTCTACTTACACCACAGAAAAAAAATCCACGGCACAAAGTACTCTCATATATGACTTTATTAATTTACTGTTTTTATTAATCCACTTAATATGATTTATGTAAAAATTCTACTTACACCACAGGAAAAAAATCCACGGCACAAAGTACTGTCATGTATGACTTTATTAATTTACTGTTTTTATTAATCCACTTAATACTCATGAAATCATTAATCATTTTAACTCATTAGAAGTACTTACAGACATTAAATATGGCAGATGAACAGCTAGTAAACCTTTTAGCCACTTTAAACAAGGGTGATTTCTAAAAAAAAGATGCCACAATTATAGCAATATAAAATAAAAACATAAAACAGAAACAACTGAAAATTTTGCAAAAAGGAGAAAAGAAAAAAAAGTCTATAGTAAATAATAAATAGCATTAGGTTTTGCAAAAAAGAAATCATTGACTTCACGTTGTTTTGCTTTCTCCTTCCCTCCCAAATTTCTCAACAGTGATATAAATAATTTAAGTCTAATTTTTCAGAACAGTATTCAGTTTGTTAAAAGTGCATTCACTATCAAATCACATAATAGCAAATATTAAAAAATAGGACCTACAGACTATTAAATAGTAATAAAAATTTTTGGCTGTGGAAAAAAAAAAAACAGAAAAAAACTAGAACTCACTCGGGGTAGGTGAAAACTATAGTATGGAAGTTAGATAAAAGTACATGTATCACATTATTTAAAATCATTATTAATTACTTCCGAAAAGTTACTCCTTACTTTTTATTACATATTTTGCTGACATTTAAGGAGAGTATGATTATAGATTTGCAGTTATGAACACATCTTTTCCTCCTTGATAAAATGAAGAAATCAATAATCGGTGAATTAATTTAGTCATTAAATTTTAAAACTTGTTTAATTCCAGCACAGAAGAGGAGGATTTAAAAAATAATTGCCTTTCTACTCTTTGTGATGTAAAGGAGGAATGCAATCTTCAAGAAATAACAACAGAAGCATGCTTACCTAGGTTCTTGTTTGTTTAATCTTTCATGCAACTCTTTTAAAACCAATAATACAGACTGTAATGGAAGTCTTTTGAGCGTGTTATGGATTACAGTTTCATCTCCAGATTGTAATACACTCTAAAATATGAAATATGCTCACATATAATACAGAAAAATAAATATCTTACATTTAAAAAACATTAATTATTAATTTCTAAAAAAATATACAAAAATACTCCAGATCAGTGCCTAGAAATAAACCTATAGAGAGTTATTTGGATATCCACTTGTACAAAACCATAAACTAAAGTCAGTTCGAAACACTTACATTCAGCATATTGTTATCTTTACTTTGAAGACCTTGTAATAAAAGATGCACCATGCTATCTGACTTTATTGCAGGTTCATGTTCATCTAAATTTTCAGGAATTTTGCTCAGATCAAGAGCACGCAGACGTTCCTCCATTGGCAACTAAAAATGAACAGAAGAAAAAATGTAACAATATGAAAAAAGTTAAAACTCAAATCTAAATATCAATTTTGTTTTAGTAAATATAGGCTTAAAAGAATACTCTGTGAATCTGCTATACATGTTTTGTCTTTTAAACTCTCTTGAGTATTTTATGATACTTCAAAAACAAAATATTCATTACAGTAATAAATACACTGACTACCAATAAGTATTTGGACACCTGTGATAGAAAAAAAAAATTAACTTTATTCAAATTCAATAGTTGGTAGAGCCTCCACGAGAGGTAATTAGAGCGTGGACCCTCCGGGGCATACTTTCCACAAGTCTTTGTGTGACAGCTAGTGGTATTTTCTTCCACTCGGCTTGGAGAAGACATAGAATTTCCTTCACCGATTTTGCACGGGTAGTGCACCCCTGAATTCGGCGATGCAACTCGTCCCAGAGGTTCTCGATAGGGTTCAAGTCTGGACTCTGGGCAGGCCAGTCCATTCGATGAACTCCATTGGCACCATACCAAGCCTTGGTTAATGTCGAAACATGGCAAACTGGCATTGTCGTCCTGAAAGTAACAGGAGTCCAACCCGTAAAACTGCCACAACGTAGGAAGCACATTGTCATCCAAAATAGTGCAGTAGGCATTGGAGTGGAGCTTACCATGAATTGGGACTAAGGGTCCCAGCCCATACCAGGAGAAACACCCCCAGACCATAATTCCACCTCCGCCGAACTTGACTGTTGGCACAATGCATTCTGACATTAGATGTTCTCCAGGTAGACGCCAGACCCAGACCCTGCCATCCGAACGGTAAAGGGTGAACCTTGATTCATCACTCCAAAGAACCCGTTTCCACTGATCTACGGTCCAATTTCGATGTGCTTTGCACCACATTAACCGAGCAGCGAGGTTGGACTTTGTGATCAAAGGCTTATGGGCAGCAGCACGACCATGAAAACCAAGCAGATGTGCTTCCTTACGGATGGTATTCATTGAAACAATACTCCCAGATGCCTGTTGAAACTCCTCGCGGATAAGGGCCATCGGTTGGGTGCTGTTCTTCTGAATTTCTCTGGACAGCACTCATCGGTGTCTATCTCCCAGTTTCGTTGGTCTGCCGACTCGGAGCACATTCCGACAATAACCGCTCACCTTCCACTTCTTAATCGCATAGGCCACTGTTGATTTTGGGTACTTCAGATCGCTAGATATGTCCCTTAGGATTGGCCACATTTGTGATACCCGATAATTATACCTTTCTCGAAATCAGAGAGCTCCGAACTGCGAGGCATCTTGAATGCGACTAAAGCCGATGCTGTTTCCTACACGACATATACTGGCGGAGTCTGTGACGTCGGCATATACTGGCGATTATACCGGCGGAGTCGTATCACCGCAGATATCGTCATTTGCATAGGTGTCCAAATACTTATTGGTAGTCAGTGTATATGCCAGTTATTTATAAATACAAGAGTAGTTTTCTGCAAATGAAACTTTTAAGCAAAATGACCATCTCCTTTTATCTTTGTAAATTACTTATTATCACTGCTCATTCCAGAGGGAATGAAGCTCTCTAACAGGGCTGTGACTTTGGAGTTATGAATATTAATATGCACCCAAGGGTATTTTGCAACTAAGCCTAACATGCAAAAATAATTGTTAAAAAATTTGCTTTTTATCAAAGTATTCAAATTCTTACATATATCATTATTATATATACAACAAATTGCAATATTTACAATTAATATAATTAAAAAGCAATTATAATGAAATAATATTTATGCATTTAAATGATTTCTATCAAATAACAGAATAAAATTTAAGAATCCAAATATGTGTCTATTATATTTTTTTAAGATGATTATAAACAAAATTTAAGCTGTTTTCCTAGTGTGAAACATTTATAAACACTGAACAATGTTATTAGCATAGCTTGTTTTACATCTGTAAATTAAAATCATAAATAATATTAATAACAATCTAATTAACACTCAATCTATTCAATCAAGATTCACAGCATTTGACATCTTTTAAGTACTTTTAAAATTTCAAATAAAATGTTTCATTTCAGGGAATCAAATATGACAGAGTGGGCTACCAGTGACAATTCATTTCCACATCACATTTTATTTTGGCTGCTCTATGAATTGAAGCATATCATAAACTATTTATATCAAACAACCACCTAAAGATTTTCTTCTAAACTATTTTTAGATTAAGATACAACAACATGCCGAAAAAACACTAATTCAGAAGTCAAAACAACAAAAATCAGCGCAATATTTTTCAAACGCTGATTCTTGTTGTTTGACTTCTGAATTAGTATTTTTAGATTCCTAAAGTTAATCCTTTGATGGTATATACCCAACCTGAGCAAACTGCAGCTCACAAAACTTTTACACGTGGTTGGCAAAGTAATAAGCATAGTTTCCTTTCAAAGATAATTAATTTTTTTTTAAATAAGAGTAATTTAATATTTTAAACTGCATTATGCATATAGCATTTTTAAAATCTATCCCTTAAGCAAGTTATCAAAGTAGCAAACAAGAACTAGTTCCATTTATGCTATAATGTGCCCTTGGCAAAGCTATATTTAGAACACTTACGGATTAAGATAAGCAGGAAAACAAGATAAAACCCCACAGTAAAACACCGGTTTGTGAGAAACTTTTGAAGGGAGGAAAGTCTTAGGTCTGACCACTGAAAGCTACAGGATACTTGAAATCATAAAAATGTGGTCACTGCTTTGAATGGTCCGTATGTTGTCATTTAATTAGTTATCAGTCTCAGTGGCACATCTCGTGCAAGAAACAGATGGGGGGGGAAAAAAAGAGAATTTTTCATTTCTACATTAGGGTTATAAAGATTAACAAATAAGAAAATTTAGTTTTTCAAAAATTTGCATTGTTGTTTAAATACTTATTTATTTATTTTCATTATTACTTTAGTTTTATGTTATGCTAATTATAGATATATTGGGTCAATATATAAATATATCATTTTATGTCAATATATCATTTTAGGACAAATGTTTTTTTAAATCATTTAAAATATGAAAATAAAAAAAGAACAATATTAAAAACTTTAGTTTTGAATAATATAATGAGCATTTTAAATTTTATTGTTTTCAATTGTAGTTTGTTCTATATCCATTCAGTACAATTGCGGTTATTAAATCAGATGTTTTTAAAATAACTATAAAAAACAATGGGTAATTAACTGAGGTTTTTTTTTTTTTTTTTTTTTTTTTTTTGCTTGCTTGCTTGCTTTGTAGGGTTCTGGGAAGAACATTCAGATAACTGAATGTTTCTTAAAGTTTTAAAATAAAATTTCGATCACCTTTTATCACATCAACGACTTATGGTATTAAAGTATCTGTCAAAATATTGTCCTCCTCCATTCATATTTATAAAATAAGTTTCAGATCTTATAATATAATTCTGCTGATATTATTGTAACACATATAAATAGTGTTCAACTCAAAAAGTTCTCCATGAAAGCATCACTTTCTCTAAGCAGATAGCCCTCATATGCCTTTCCACAACCCAAATATGTGTTCAAGAATTTTTCAATGGAGTCTTTTGTGCTTTAATTTGCTTCAAAAGTAAATTTAATCTAATGAATTAATTATATGGCTGAGGGATGTCTATTTAATAGTAATAATAACAGTATATATTTGTATACTACTATATCTGTATACTTGTTTTAAAGGGGGGGATATGACAATTTTATCTCGTTTTTAGATGCATATGCGTGAGAAATGTAAATTCTTTGCATAAGGATACCAAGGATGAATCTGCATCTGTATGTTATTACACTCATTTCCCAATATCTACTTCTTTTTGATACTAGGGCGCTTGCTCATATAAAAAATATATATATATATATAAAATAAAAGCAAAGTACCTTTTTGTTTTTTTTAAGAATAGATTTTTGAAAATGTAGTCATTCTGAAACCATAGTTTCATTCCATAAAAAATATTTAAAAAACAATATATATGTTAAAATTTATGCATAAATCTAAGTCAAACTGTTACTAATATATCCAGAACTACATACGTTACTCTAATTTCAGTAACTTCACATAATTTCAGTTTATTTCTAGCAGTTGCTAATTACAGTCAAACAAGAAATTTGAAATCAGAAGAAAATGCTTAATTTTCTCTCTGAAAATAAACTGTCATAAAAAAGCTCAATTCTATGAATAAAGAGCTACTAGACATATAAATACCCATGTTAATAAAAAAACAAAGTCTGAGATAATTTGCATTGAAATTTTATATTCTGAAAACTATTTTACTGCCTTTTAAACAATACAAATACTTTTTATTTTGAATTATTATAATAAAATGGAAATAATGATTAATCCAAATAAATAAGTACATTATTAAATTTTTATTTTCCTTTAATTCTAGGCTTAAAAATTTAGAAAAAAAAAAAATTTTCAATTTATTCAACTTGTTAGTCAGCATGACATCAGAAAGGAAAAAATAAAAGCACTAACAAGAAAACAGAAGTTTCAAGAGTGAATGGGGAGAAAATTTTGCATTCATCGATAAAAACAGAAAGCTGCTATCTCAAAGTTACGGATGCAAATTATAAAGTCAACAACATATTTTATCATCATGAAGAAAAAAAAATCATTAGTATCATCATCAACTGCAAACAGAAAAACCTAACTCTAAAATTTACTGCTATAAGTAAAATACATTCCTATCCTCTTTTAGTAATGAAGCTGACAGTGCCATCGAAGGCAGTTTTTTCATATCCTGGATTACTGCTTGTGCTAAATGTCCATATGGAGAAGGAGAATTCATTAAGCAAAATCTGGAAAAAGTAGTTGAACTTTTGGATCCAAACAACGCAAAACTGCACGGATCAATATCACAGATTCCTACCTCTTGTCATACAACAGAGCGTCATGTTACGGAAATTAGTTGCTACAGACAATCTCAAAAATGATTTGAAGAACTGTGTAGTATTAAGCTTGGCACTTGATGAATCAACAGGTATCTAAGATATTCCTCAGTTAGCAATTTTTGTTCATTATTTTCATCACAAATGATTATGAAATAAGATATGCTAGATTTAATAGCACTTAAGAATCAACTCATAGTATCAATATAAAAAAATAACTCAACACAGTAATGAATAATCAACTCATAAATGATGCAACTGATGGAGCGCCTGCAATATGTGGGGAAAATAAAGGTCTCATTGGTTTTTAAATTGACCCTAAATTTCCACAATTTATACCTCTTCGCTGCATAATTCACCGCAAACACCTTATAGCAAAGTATTTAAAATATTATGATGATATGTAGACTGTTTTAAGTTTTGTGAATTACAAATGCAAAAAATTATTACCAATTCAAAAATATTCTTGAAGATATGAACGATGCACAGCTTCCAAACGATTTAACTTTCTACTGCATTGCCAGGTGGTTATCACTTTATAATGTTTTAAATCAGTTTCTTGAACTACACAATTCAATCACTGCATTTCTAAAGCAAAAGGAAAAGCCAAATTCAAAAATGGAAGATGACGTGCACTGATTTAATGATGTACACTGATGTGCACTGATTTAATGATGTACAATATGCATTATATAATATATTTAAAATTTTTCAGTCATATTTGGTGCCTTGAAAATCTAGTTGTAGCTTTTGAATGTTTCCAAACTCTAGTATACGGCTCTCATCGATGTAAAGTTTGGCCACCCTTGGTACATTCCCTTTTATTAAATTGCCAAACATTTTTCTAATACTGGTTTCAATTTTATGTCACAGCTAGGAGTTTTTTCAAGGGCACAGTAAAACTTTTCTATGGATGTATGCAATCATGACTATTGAAAACTTAAGAAAACAGTAACCCACAATTACAGAAATTAAATTTCAAAAAATTATTTCAAATGCCATTTTAATTATTCTTTGAACTTCAATTGAGAAGGGAATTTCAAGCTGAATAATAGAGAATTATTTATTACTGGAATCATTTACATTAAAACATTCCTAGCTTAAGATAAATTATATTCCATACAGCAAAAATTTTACATAAGATAGGTAATTTATAAAATGCTTGGATTCTTTGGTTTAACAGTAAAGTACCAAGGTACTCTGGCTTATATAAACTACTGGTGTTCAATAGTATTATTTACAATGGCAAAAGTTTACAGCAAGTGTTTATAGTATTCACGTAAGTTGAATTACCAGAGTGGTCTTAGATTCATAATGGCAACAATTTACAGTAAATATTCAGTATCACAAGATATTAATATTTTAATTTACAAACTCTTGTAAAGTAGCATGAATAACATGTTTACACAAATATACATACTTCTGTGATATCATTTTCTTTCAATTTTCTCTTTTTTGCAATGTTCTGTGAAGGCTTTATATCTGTCATATGACCAGGTGCAAGCAATTTTACATCATGTGGTTTAACTGTCTCTTTTACCTATTGAAGAGCAAAAATAATATTGACCTACAAATTCTAAAAAATAAGCATAATAATAATAATAAATATTATATGGTTCTATATGTATGCTATTCTAACATTTTATATGTTTTGTTCAAATCATTAAGGAGTTCGTTAAATTCATATTGTAGTCAAAGTGTGAACATCATTTTTGAAACTTTAAATATGTTCATGTAAGGCATATTTTTAATTAACCAATTTGCATTTAATTTAAAATCCATAAATATAAAAATAAATTTAAAATTATTCTTGTAAACTATTTGTTTATTTAATTAGCATGTTTTATTTTATTACTCAACTAGAAATATCACCAAATCTATTCATATATTACACAAGCAAATATTGTATAATGCATAGAATCATAGCACAGGTCAGAATTCCATAAACCATATATCTTCCATAGACTCCAACCTTCAGCAAACCTTGTCAGTAGTCAACGCGCGAACAACATTTTTACAACTTTGAAAATGTGCGCGTAGCGTATGTTGTAATTAACCATTCATTAATTTTAAATTAATAATTCATTGTAATCAATTTTATTACATTTAAAATCCATATACATATAAAACTGAATAATTAAAAATATACCTTGTAATTATATGCACATTTAATTAGAAATTTTCTTTTAACTCCTCAAGCATTCACTAATAAAAAGTACTTCAAATCACTACTAATCATAGAAAAAAATCAGAAGCTATAAATCATATCTTTATTCTGGATATGATTTCTACAGGGAAATAAAATTTAAATAACCAAGAATGATACATATAAGTATGAAACAAAATATGCATAATTTATGAATGCAAAGATTTATATGTAGCATGCTTAGCAAGCTTAAGTTCTGATTTTGAGAATGTTTTTTTATAACACAGTTCTTCATTTGCCTGCATATTTATTTTTTCAATCAAAACTGCTTCAAGAGTTTTAAGACCTAAATTTGGTCGAAATTCCGTCTGATTTTTTTTAACAATAGAAAAAATTCTTTCGCAGGCTGCATTTGAATGAGGTATTATTAAGACAGCAAGCATTACAGAAGGCAATACTTTGTATTTAATACACCCATTCATATTTTTAATTTGGCAATTTCTCCCCATGCTATATCAATACGCAAATCTACAATTTCTTTCAAATCATCTACTTGATACATGGAAAATTCAATTTCTACTTGATTAAGACATTTTTCATCAATAATGGATGGAAAAGTATTCATCAAGTAAAGAACAGATGAAAATGAGACTTCAGTTCTCAAGTTGATGTCAGCAACTTCAGCATGTTTTAGATACGGATCACTCAGTGGAAATTTATCAATTATATATGAACATGCAGTTACAAAAAAAGCTCGCACAGAATTGAAAAATGATTACACTTCACTTTCATTCAACTTGGCATTTTTTAAATATAGTCTTGTTTCCGCACCAATCACTAAATTTTCATTTTCTTTTTGTTTACTATACTTCTGAAATGGAATAGACGTTAGAGTAACATCTTCATTTTCTTTAGAAATTACTGATGGTTTTTACGAATCTAACAAATAAATTCATTAAAAGTTCAAAAAATTCTCTTCTCATTTATGTATATAAGGAGCTTGTTGTAGCAAATTAATATTTACTGTTATAAACAAAGGCATGAAGTATTTTTCAAAAATAACAAGTACAAATGGTTTGGTGGTCGATGACTGTAAAATTTTTTTTTAATGTTTTGCAATCTCTTTCCTTCATTCTCACTGTTATCTGGTTGATCCTCCAAAAAAATTATCACAGCATCCCACTGTTCCTTGTTATAGTCCAAAATCCTTGTTATAGAATTCTAAAAGAGACAACCATCTCGTACTGCAATATTTCAAATTTTATGAGATTTTGCATTCTGTCCCAAAATTTGTTGAGCAACTTTGAAGCTATGCTTCCGTTTCGAACTTTTCTCCAAGTAAAAATATATATCTATTATCAACATTTCAATTTCTGAGCCAATTAATTTTTCAGTAGCTTTTTTTGCAGCTATATGCAAGAGGTGGCACGGACAACCTCGGGTGATTATACTTGGTTGATGCATTTTGATAAACAATGCTACACCTTTAAACTTTCAATCATATTACTAGCATTATCTGAAGAAAATGATAAGCAATTTTTCCATTCTAAACCTTTGTTTTTAAAGTTTTCATTTATACAATTAAAAATACCTTCTCCTGTATTATTCGTGCATTCTAAAATCAATGAAGTAATTATCACTCCCTTTTCTTTACTGTAGTATGTTATAACCAATGGGTACAGTTTGTTATCATTGTTATCATTACTTCAATCAGTACTTAGAGAAAATGATGTACTGCACACTGATTTTATAATATCAGCAACAGTATTTTCTGCAAGCGTTTTCACAATAGCAGCAGTTTTGGTATGACCGCAGCTAAATTTTTTTGCTCTGGCAGAATCCGGAAACATTGCTTTGAAAAGTTCTTTGGAATGATCCGAAACAGAAAGCGGTAGATTATGTTCAATTAAAAAACGAACAAAATAGCATTCGGCTTTTAAAGGATCTGTTTCATCATCTTTTATTAAGAAATTTGTTATTTCTTTAGATTTTACAGTGCCAAGTTCTATATGCTTTTGAGAAAACACAACATGCCGTTTACAGTCATCTTTTCCGCCATGAGCAACTGAGAAGTCTTTGTTGCATACACTGCAGTGTGCGTGATTCACAGAAATTTCCGGACACTTTAATGCATGGAAATTCTGAAGAATATGAATCTTTAAAACTTCTGCTTTGATAATTTTGGCTTCTTCGTTCGAGGCAGCATTATGATTAAAAATCTTTCACCTGATTCACAGTTCACAAGACACACGCTAAGCTCTCGCCATAATCTAAACAATGGACACAATGCAGCCTAAACACGCATCAGCGAGGAACCTGGGAGACAGACAATTGGGTGGAACTATTGATAAGTCGGTAACGTTTGGAGTTACTGATCTACGATTGGCTAATTCTTCAAAACTAGGAACGCACTCAACACGTGATATATGATAACACGAGTATTCAGCCAATCATCGGATGAATTAGTTGGTTCCGTTTTGCGTACTGGTTCTCCTGCTCTTGTTTCTGTAAAATCCGTAGTTTTTTTCCATACTTTTCGTAGCTCGTAGTTTTTCATGAATTTCCGTAGAAACTACGGAGAATCCGTAGTAGTTGGAGTCCATGTATCTTCATGAGGTACTCTGATTAAAACAGGGTTTTTATAATTTAGACAGAAACAATATATATAGATAATAATCATTATTAAAAGTACTTATCAATTATGAATGTAAAGATTTATATGTAGCATGCTTAGCAAACTTACTTTCTGAATTGATTAAAACAGGGTTTTTATAATTTAGACAGAAACAATATATATAGATAATAATCATTATTAAAAGTACTTATCAATTATGAATGTAAAGATTTATATGTAGCATGCTTAGCAAACTTACTTTCTGAATAAGAGTATATATATATATAATACAGTTCTTCATTTGCCTGCATGTTTACTCGTTACTCAATGAGAACTATTTCAAGAGTTTTCATACCTAAATTTGGTTCAAAATGCAATCTTATTCTTTTTGATAATAGAAAACATTCTTTCACAGTTACATTTAAATGAAGGTAGTATTAAAGCTGCAAAGATCACAACAGACACTACTTAATGCATCCATTTATATATTTTTTTTTAATTTTTCAATGTCTCCTCATATTACATCAATATGCAAAGTGGAAACTTCATTCAAATTATCTACTTGAAACTCAATTTCAACTTATGAAGATAATTTTCAAACTGAAAAGTATTCACCATGAAAATGAATTTTGGTGTGTGTGTGTGATTATGGCAAAGCCTCGGGGACTATCTGCCTAAGGGGAGGGATGCCTTCGTGGAGGACTTTCTAAGGGAAACTGGCTCGTATACACGTTACACATGGGGAAAACCACGAAAACGCCCATGCAGCCAGCCCGTTCGCGGGATTCGAACCTCGAACCGAACTACCAGTGTTCAGCGACTTTACCGCTTGGCCGCTGGTGGGCCCCATGAAAATGAAACTTAAGTTCTTTACCTGATGTCAGCAACTTTAGCATGTTTCAAAATTAGATTATTTACAGGAAATTTATCTATTATATAAGAATGTGCAGATTAAAAAAAAGCCTGTACTAATTTTAAAAATAATTTCTTTTCACCTTTCATTCAACCTGGCAATTAAAAAATATCTTCATCAATCACTAAATTTTCATTTTCTTTTTGTTTATTATTAAGTTGGTTTATTTTGTTTGAAATGCAGCAGATGTCAGATGAATTCTGTGACTTCTTCAGAAATTACTGATGGCTTTACAAATCTAACAGTTAAAGTTCAATAAGTACTCTTCTCAATTTATGCATATAAGGAACGTGTTATTGCAAATTAACATTTATTGTAACAAAGGCAAAATATTCTTCAAAAATAATACATACAACGGTGGTAGGTGACAGTAACATTTTTTTTTTTTTTTTTTTTTAAACTTTCTACTTATATGCAACCTTGCTGTACAGTTGCAAAAAAAAGTATTTATGAGGCAAAGCAAACTGTCACCAAAGCGGTCGTGTGGCAACCTACAGTCTCACCAAAAAATATTTATGTGACAACCCAGGTATGTGTGTAGCATCTCTGTTTTGGTTGGTGTGTAATGCTGAATTGCATGGACACTAAATTTGTGGAATTTTCTTATGATTGTTTAAGCGAAAACATATCAATGTGTACTTATAGAGAACAGCAAGAGGGGAGAAAAAATTCTCATTTACTATTTTTAAAAAAAATCACAACTTTTTAAAAATTTTTTATTGATTGATTGTTTATACCTAGAATTCTTAGTATGCCACCATTTTTAAAACAGTTGTTGCTTTTAGCTTAACAAAAAAATAAAGTTGCCAATAACTTTGCAACTGTTCTTCAAATTCGTCAATCAATTTGCGACTTTTCAGTTCATCTCGCAATCTCTTTCTTTCATTCTGATTATTATTATGGGGTGAATGCATACAAAAGCAAAAATAAAATAAAATACACAAATAAAATAAATAATAATAATCAGAGCATTCATCTTCTCCAAAGTTCTTGTTACAGAATCTAAAAGAGGAAACCATCAAGTAAACCAGTATTACAAAATTTTTGCGTTCTGTCCCAAAATTTACTGACTACGTTTGAAGCTTTCTTTTTGAATTTTTCTTAAAATAAATACATATCTATTTTTACTGACATTTCTATTTCTGAGCCAATTAATTTCTCAGTTATTATATTCATATTAGGAACGAAAATATTTAATATTCTGTGCAACTAATAATTTAATATTTGCATGTATCTATATGTAATTAATTAATAATTGCACATCAAAATAAAATTTTTAAAACTCACCCTGGATATACCATCTTCAATAGTAACAGCAGAAGACCAAGAAATATCCCTTATTAAACATAAATCTTTAGAAAATTCAGATATATCCTGAAATTGATTAACAATATAAAATGAGAGTAAGTACATATATTTAAGAAAATAGATGAACATAGTGTACTATCATGACAGATGTTAAAACTTACAATTCTTTCAAACATTGGTTTTAAGAAATTTCCATATAATAAAAGGCAGGAATTTGAATCTTCATTTAAATTTGAAGCAAGAATAGGAACAGGACAAGGTTTTGCCAGAGATTCATCTGTTTTGGAAGCTATCTGTACTGTACATTTTGGCTGTAATGGTTTTTTCATTCTCCTAAAAACAAAAGTCATATTATCTTTTGAAATATTTAGCTAGTTAAGGTGAATATGTATAATATAGAGAGATTATAAGCTTCCAGGAAAAACTTAGTAAATAAGAAGTAAAAACCACTGGAAAAAACCTTTCTAATTAATGAATATGTGTCTGTAACTCACTTTTAGTGGTAAACAGGACCAGATTTAGACTTAACGAGACATTAAGCTGTTTGAGATATGAGGCCCTTTATGAGGTATATAGGTCATTTTTTTTATATTGGATATGGTACAATTTTCTTGCGGGGGGGGGGGGAGCAACACCCTAAGCTATAGCTTATGCATAAATACAGCACTGGTGGTAAAGGTTTTACTGGCACGTAAATAAATGGCAGAAAATGTAAATAACACCTTTATGGCTTTATAGACATTCCATATTAATTCACAACATTCCAGGAGAATAAATAAATATGGTCGGTAGCTTGGGATGCATCTTGTAGGCACATATCACACACGCATTTGTTTCACACAAACAACTGTTTCGGAGAATTTTTCTAACTATTGATAGAAAGGCACGCGATTTTTTTCCTTCCTTTTAAAAAAAAATTGCAAGTTGTTTATTTTCAACCAATTAGCTATTGGCTTGTTTGTAATGGAGAACCAGTTTCCCCTGTGCTAACCCCAAGGTGATCTGTGGTGACTGGCTGTTGTGAGAAAACAGAGAAATTGTTCCAAACAGTTATTTTTCTGAAACAAAAAGATGTGTAATAGCAGCCTTAAGCCCATATCACACGGCGTTTGTTTCACACAAACAACTGTTTTGGATAATTTTTCTGTCTGGTTTACTATTGAAAGACATGAGACTTTTTCCTTCCTTTCCAAAAAAATTGCAAGTTGTCAGTTTTCAACCAATCAACTATCAGCTTGTTTGCAATGGGGAACTAGTTTCCCTGTGTTAACCCCAAAGCGATCTATGGTGATAGGCTGTTGTGACAAAGCAGAAAAATTGCTCCAAACAGTTGTTTTTCCAAAACAAACTGACGTGTGATAGCAGCCTTAAGGAGTTCAAATACAATTTAATGGCAGCTTTAAATAGATCCACTGGTTTAACATGCGGAACTATCTCAATGTTCAAGAAATGATCCATATTACATGTACTAACTCTGCATTACCTATGTAGATGGTGGGAAATAAGCAGTAATCACACTTCCCAACAACAAGCAAACAATACTCATAGACGCTTAAAATGAATCTTACATATTTAAGAAGAAAAGGGAGGACAACATGAGAAACAACCACCTGTATTTACAGCACCCACTTCTTCCATAAGTTATGACTGTAAATAAACTTTAACTTACCTTGAATTTTACATAAGATTTTTGAAATTGCCTAAGATTAACTTCTTAAGAAACTGTAATATTTATTATTATTATCATATAAACACACACAGACGCATACTTACATTATATATATGGGGTGTTTCATAGATCATGGGACAAACTTGCGGAGGTGAAGCATACTAAAACATATTTTTTTATAGGAATGTAGGGTCTAAAGTGGCGGATTAAAAGCAGGAACACAAAAAAAACGACACAAGAGGAAAATGTGTTTATGTACAAAATCAACGCAAAGTGCTTCTTTGCAGCAATACAGTATACATGTTCGAAAAAGGGAACAGTAATAGGAACTACAGCTCTGATTGGCTGGCAAAGCAGCGGTAGTGAGCCGGACAAACCACAATCCGATGCATTAGAGGATCATTTGCAACTCTGATCTCGAGCTTGATGGGCAAGTTTACGCACAGGGAAAAAGCTGACATGCATCTCATGTATGGTGCTGCTAATGGGAATGGCAGAGCAGCACTACAGTTGTACTGGGAACGGTTTCCGAACAGGCATATGCTGAAGCACACAATGTTCGAGAGGTTGCATCGGTCTCTGTGTGAAAACGGGTGCACGACAACCTCGTTTTGAAGAATCCATCTTGAACATTGTGCATGAATCACCTCAGAGAAGTACAAGAGCTATTGCACATCGTCTGCAGCTGAGTTATTCCACCGTTTGGAGAGTATTGCATGAAAATGGTTTGCACCCATACCATTTGCAGAGAGTTCAAGACTTGCAAGAGACAGATTACCCTCTTCGAGTTCATTTCTGTCATTGGTTCTTTCAGCAGTGTGTGGCACAGGTGGATTTCCTATCGGATGTGCTATTCACGGATGAGGCAACTTTCTCAGAAGACGGCATCTTCAATAGCCACATCATACACGTGTGGACAACTCATAATTCACACGGCACACATCCACATGCATTCCAAACCTGCTTCTCCGTGAATGTGTGGGCGGGTATTGTTAACGACTACCTCATAGGCCCATACCTCTTACCTGCGCGTACAAATAACTTATGTTATCATATTTTTCTGCAAGAGGTGCATCCTGTGTTTCGTGATCGCATGTGGTTCCAGCATGATGGTGCACCAGCCAATAACCACGTGCGGGTCCGCAATTACTCCGATGGATTGGCCGTGGTGGACCGTTCAATGGTCACCTCATTTGCCTGTTTACAATAAATAAACCTCTGAGGAGAAAGAATTACGATCTGATTAACTTAACTAGAACTCAGAACTGTGTTTTTCCTTAACTTTTTTTATTTGATCCAGCTTATTTTGTTCAGTGTATTATTACTGTTGTCGTCTTATCAAAATTAAAGTTCTAGTAAAAGATCACATTTCAGCTTTAATCTTCCTCTTGAAACTTTATATCCATCAATCTTCCAATGGATATCGGAGCTTTGCACACTCTGAAATACAGATACAAAGTAGCATTTTTAAAATCAATAATAACCATCCAAGAATTCTTGAAATATTTTAATATAGAATTTGCTGTGTGTACAGTCAAGACAGGAGAGGTTTGTAGATACTTTTTTTTTTTTTTTTTTTTCATAGACAGACACAACAAAAGCAGGACTTTTGAAGGTCACCAGTATTTTGTTCTCGCATGTCACAATTAAATCAATGTACATTTTGCTTTGAATTATGAATATGTTTTATTTATATTAAGGTGTCAACCATACTGTTTGCCTCAGGCACCAAAAGTGCTGTAGCTGAGCCCATATATAACCAAGTTATAATCTTTTATGATACGAATTTAAAAATTTTCACAAGTAACAAGTCAAAATTTTTAATTAATGGAATATATAATGAAATATAAAATAGAGATGATATAACTGAAATCTTCCATTGCAATGACAATTCTAATCATTATTCAGTCAACAAGTGGTAAAATCTGTTGAGTCACATTTTAATTTCATAAGGTGGCTATTAAAACAGTCTTTCTTTTCACAACATGCCTTTTTCTTGAAAGAATAGGATAGTTAATCTTTTGGCAAAATCCAAACTGCAAAAATCCATGCCAAGAATTAAAAAAAGAAAAAACTGTAATTAGATAAAAGCATGGTTGTACAGTAGAGTCCTGCAATCTCAACATAATGTGGTCTGAGAGACTGTCGAATTTCCAAAAAGTCGAGTTTTAAGGAATGAGAGGTGGGTTTTTCAGAACTCTTAATATTTAACTGTAAGCAAAATACTGAACATGGAAAAGTACAGCATACAATTAAATTAATGTCGATTTTTTTTTACGTCAAATTCTAGCACAATAGGAGTCAATAAAATTTTAGGGCTTTCTCTCCGAACCACAAATAAAGTGCCTCGCTTACCACCTTTTACCACCTTCCATACTTTTTCTTTACTTTAAACTTTCCGTATATGCTCTTTTCACACACCAAAACTCGATTTCGGATCTCTTCTTTTTCCACCCTATCCAAGTTTTTCACCTTCTAACACCTAAGTCCATGGTAATTTTGTTTACACTTTCCCCTTTGTCTAGTCTCTTTAAAGCATCTAGTTTCATTTCCATTGTCACATTAGTTTGTTTCCTTTTTAGAACGACATTTTCACTTAACAGAATATCAAAAGTCCCCAAAAATATGTAACACTTATACGGCTGGATGTGAACTGAGGAACGATATCCGCAATGACCTAGTATGAGTTTAGTTTGCAATAAGATGCAGTCACAAAATTTCAGACAAGTCTCCTAATGTTTTGCAACAATAGAAAGGAATGTGAGCCAGCAGCCAGCCACTACCTGACTTTCTTCATATCCTCGAAAGAAGAAAGCAGCATTGCCAAGCATAACAACATGTCTTGAAATTTGTTAGGCAATGGCCTAGAGATATAGTCAAAAGTCGTTAATTCGGACACCCATAATCCGGAATGATCTATAATCCAGACCTCAAAGCTACAACTTTCTGCGCATGCGTTGCGTTGACGCACGTTTACGTGTGCGCGTAAGACCTTTATGGCTGCGAATATGCGTGTGTGCAAGTGCAGAATACATTTACGCATGCTCGTTTAATGTATAACGGACGGTATAATCTAAGCTAAAATTATCTACTTCAGTTAATGTTGTAGATTGCGTTGTTCTTAATCTTCGAATTGGATTATTATTTTTTGCAGACTGTTAGAGCAATTTTATAAAAGTAAGCTTGAACTTTCAATTATATCAAATAGAATTTCCGATATATATTTGCTAATATGTAAAGGATCTAAAGCGAAAGTATGCTTCGAGATCCGAAATCTGTTTATAAACTTCACGCTGCTCGGGGGGAAGGGGGGGCGTCGCGGCGCACAATGAATTGGAAGATGATCTGCACTATCCTTATCTTCACCTTATCAGCACTATAGCATATCTATACCTTATCAGCACTATCCTTATCTTCAGGGCAGATGTTTTTATTTAATTTGGCTTATAATTCCTTACTAAATGTAGTATTTCATCTCAATGTACTCCGTCTTTGATATGATTAAAACAAGTTCCTCGTCATTATAAGTCGCTTCCCATAGTGAAGAAAGTGACACAGAGCTTATTGAAAACAAAATAATTTCGATTGACAAATTAGTCGGTATTCTCGACACAGCAATTATAGGACTTGAACAGCGGAACTTTGTAACTAAACAAGAAATTAT